AGGACCAGACGGGCGATTTCAACATGTGCTTCAACTACAACGTGCGAGTGCTCTGCTGCGACTCCACCCACTGCCATGTCACAGCAGCCATTTCTTCCTCTAGTGTGCCCTCCACACCTGGTCCCACCAGTGTCCTGGGCTCCACTGTTCTCGTCAGCACACGCACCTTGCCTGAGCCTTGCTTCTGCCAAGCCTTTGGAGGGCTCTTCTCACCTGGTGAGTTGGATCCCATGTCTCCCTTTCTTTCCCTGGTGTGTGTGTCCAATCTTCTCTTAGGGTCCACCGACCTATGGTGTAGTCTGCTCATGTCCTTGTCTGGCCATCCTTCTCCTCATGTGGCTGCCCCCGTGCCCCTAGCCTTGGCGGTCGACTTCAGGTCGTCTGCTTCCTTTGGGTGAGTGCTCTTGAGGTGTTTTTCTGTCTTGTAGGCGAGTTCATCTACAACAAGACTGACAGAGCTGGATGCAACTTCTATGCCATCTGCACCCAGGAGTGTGGCATTGAGCGCTTCCATGGCACTTGCCCCACCTCCTCACCCACCATGTCCTCCATCCCTGTGCCGCCACCCTCACCGCCTCTTGGCTGTGATAATGCTGTTCCTCCCCGCCAGGTAGGCTTCCCTTACCCTGTTTTGTAGGGATTTTGTCTGAGACTTCAGGTTTCAGAAGAGGGCCAGCACTTGCAATTGTTCTCCTGCCCTTAGCGGTGGCCAAGGACCAGCACCACCACCACCCGCATCCCCTCAGGCTTCGTTAGTGACCCATGCTCTGGTATCTTTTTGGGTGCAGGTGCTGAAAATCCAGGGTGTTGGTCATCACAGTCTTTTTTCCCTCTGGTGGCTCATGTGCATGTGACCTCAATCTTAGGTGTGCTGGGTGATAGGACCCCATGAGCCACCCCAGGTTGGCACCCTGCTTGTCCTCTGCTCCAGGTGAATGAGTCCTGGACCCTGGAGAACTGCACTGTAGCCAGGTGTGAGGGAAACAATCGTGTCATCCTGCTAGAGCCATCGCCCGTGGCCAGCATCACCTGTGTGAACCAGCACATGCCCATCAAAGTGTGGAGCCAGAGCCAGCCTTGCCTCTTCCACTACGAGTGCGAGTGTGAGCAGGCAGTGGGTGGGGAACAAGCCGAGGCAGAGGAGCAGGCCCTGCATGCAGCAGGCTGGGAGGTGGCCAGCCATCACTGACTGTGGACTGACTGTACAGTGAACACGCTTGCTCTGTTAACCTGCAGGCGCATGTCCTCTGGGAAGGGCTAAGGATGCAAACCACGACCAGAGGGGATTTTTTCTGGGGGTCTTGATGATCTGCTTCTGTTACCAAGGGCACAGGGCATCACAGTCCTGCTGGCCTCAGGACAGCGGACACCCACAAGCCTCTCCGTCCTGAGGCCAGAGGTCCCAGATCAGGATGCAGGCCAGGCACCCTGAGAGGTCTGGGAGGGCCCTTCCTGCCTGTTAGTTCTAGGGGACCCAGGCGTCCTTATCTTGAGGCCACACCACTCCAGTCTCTGGCTGTGACTTGTCATGGCCTTCTCTGTGTGTCCTCTCCTCTCTTGCTGGATTCAGGGCCACCGAGGTAATGCATGTTGATCCCATTTGGACCCCCTTCCCCATAAGGTCACAGACACAGGTCCAAAGGTACATATGGCTTATGGGGACAAAATTCAACCCATGACACACCTTTTGTAGATGAGGCAACTGAGGCCTAGAAACTTGTGTGGCTGCCCTGAGTCACAGTGGGGCTGAGGAAGAGGACCTCCAGCCTGTGTGTCCCACAGGTTTCTGCAGTGGATGGGGCCACTGGAACTTCATGACATTCGACGGTACCTCCTACTCCTTCCGGGGCAACTGTACCTACACCCTCATGAGGGAGATCCACCCTCGCCACGGGAACCTGAGCATCCTCATTGACAACCACCACTGCAGGGCCCACGACACGGCCAGCTGCCCCCAAGCCCTCCGAGTGCACTACGAGTCCACAGAGATCATCCTCACTACCACCAACACCAGCGCAGGAGAGGAGAGCCTGGTGGGTCCCTGGGCAGGTGGAGCAGAGGCCAGGAGTGTGCCTTCCTCCCTGCGGTGGCAGTCCCCAGGGGTGCAGGAGGACCCACGGGGCAGGCTGCCTGAGGCAGAGCACATCTGTAGGCCCCATGTCCCTGAAGGAAAATCCAGTCTCTAGGATGGAGGTGTACATGCTGGCCTCCAGTGCTTAGGGATCAGAACCCCTAAAAGCTGCCTGGACCTGCCCCTGGCTAGGGTTTCCTGCACTTCCCCAGATCCTTTTCAACCAAATGCGGGTGAGCCGAGGCTTCAGCAGGAACGGCATTAGCGTGTCCGTGACGGGGGCCATCACGATGGGCGTCCACATTCCTGCTGTTGGCGTGAGCATCACTTTCAATGGGCACACCTTCCAGATCCAGTTGTCCTATGGCTACTTTGGCCACAACACGGAGGGCCAGTGCGGTGAGTGGGTGCAGCCTGGCTCCCAGCTGCCTGCTCTCCCCCAACCACCTCCCCAGGCCAGAGCCACCTCTGGGCCTCTCAGTCAGCAGGAGGACTTGGGTCAGAGGATACAGCCAGAGGCTTCCTGGGCTCCAGCCTGCAGTGACTTCTGCCCCACTCCCCAGGCACCTGCACCAACAGCCAGAGTGATGACTGCCGCCGGCCTGATGGCACCATCGCCCCCACCTGCCAGGACATGGCCAAGACCTGGGTGGTGCCTGACAGTAGCCGAGAGGACTGCCAAGCAGTACCCAACCTTCCTGTCACCACCAGCCCCCCACCCCCAGTGTACAGCACAACTAGCTCCACCCCCTGCCCCATCTCACCACTCTGCAAACTGATGCTGAGCGGGTGAGTCCTTGGCTTTGATATGGTGGGTGTGGGCAACAAGCCCTGCCCAGCTGGATTCTGCTGGGCACAGTACTTAGCCCTGCAACCTCTTGTCTGTAGGGTCTTTGCTGAGTGCCACAGCCTCATCCCACCTGGTCCCTTCTTCCATACCTGTGTGAGTGACAGCTGCCAGGCTGACACCCTCATGCTTTGCCAGAACCTGGAGGCCTATGCGGCACTGTGTCGCTCCCGGGACGTGTGTGTGGACTGGCGCAACGCTACCAGTGGGCTGTGTGGTGAGTGGAGCAGACCCAGGCTTCCAGCCTCCTGAGCCTGCCTGATGCCCATCTAACACCTGTCTCTGCCCACAGACCACCCCTGCCCACCCACCAAGATGTACAGGCCATGTGGCCCCATGCAGCCTGCAGCCTGTGACTCCAGGTGAGCTCAGGCTGGGCAGTGGCTTCCTGGGCTCCAGCAGTCTTCTTGGTCTGTGTAGGCCAGCCAGAGGTCCAGAGGAACCAGAAGGCCAGAGCACGTTGGGGCTCTGACCCTGAGCTCTGTGGCCCCCAACTCCAGGACTCCCTGGAACTCCTCCAGAGCTTCCAATCCCTTGGGCAGGGCAAGACACCAGGGAGGATGCCCATCTACATTCTGACTCTGGCCACTGTGGCCATTCCCACCCTTCCTTGGCTGCTTGTAAGGGGCTCAGAATCCTGCTCTTCTTCCCTGTAGGACCCACAGTCCCCTGAGCTCACGACTGGCTGAGGGCTGCTTCTGCCCTGAGAACCAGCTCCTCTTCAGCTTGAGCACAGACATCTGTGTGCCCGAATGCTGTAAGCATGTCCCCCGCTACAGAACGTGGAGCCCATCTTCACCTGCATAGACAGGGTTCCCTGTGTCACAGGCCCCATTCTGCCAGGCCAGAGCATAAGATGGCCACAGCAAGGCCTACAGTCTTGCAGAGCCCCAATGGCCCCCTGGAGCCAGCTGCACAGGACATAGAGCTCTTGTGCTTGTTACTGCTCCTGTCCTGGGCCACTCAGGACTGGAGTAGCAAGGACCCCTGGAAAACTCCCCACCCCAACCCTGTCCCAGCAACACCACACCCATGAGTTCTCCCAGGGCTTCTGCTCCATCCTGGTGGGAAGACAAAGGCCTAAAGTGGGCGGGCGACCAGTCCCAAGAGCACACACAGTCCGTGGCCTGGGCCCCATCTACCCAGCACCCTGAGTGACTCTTCCCTTCTTCCAGCCTGCGTGGGACCAGATGGGTCTCCCAAATTTGTAAGTGGTTCTGCCCCCACCTGCCCCTACCCCAACTTGAGCTGAGGGAGGGAGGGAGGGAGGGAGGGAGCACCCTACCTTGAGTGGCCAGCTCTGCCACAGTCCTGGGGCTGACATCCTCCCTGCCCTGTCACTTAGTCTGCGAAAGGCCAACCCTGCTGATGGGGACCTGGCCTGCTCTTGCACAGCTGGGAAAGCTGAGACCTCATCTGGAGCCAGCCCTGTAGCCTGTGGTGACCCTGGCATGGTCTTTTGCAGCTGGGAGAGCAGTGGATCAGCAACTGCCAGTCCTGTGTGTGTGATGAGGGCTCAGCATCCGTGAGGTGCAAGCCGGTGCAGTGCGAGGTCCAGGACCTGCCCCTGCAGTGTGGGCAGCCTGGTTTCATGGCCCTAACCAGGCCCCAGGCCAACAACCCCTGCTGCTCTGAGACACTGTGTGGTGAGCACCCAATAGCAGGAGTCGGGGTTGGGGAGCAGAGGGGATGTGTGTCCTGGCCTGACCTTAGCTGGACCACTTGGTGGGGCAGCCTCCAGGCACTTCGGTTTTCCACCTGAAGATGAGGCTAGTACCTCTGGCTTGACCCCTAGATGGTCCCAGGCTTGGGAAGGGTTGGGGGTGAGAAGCACAGCAGCCCCTGAGAACCAGAAGCCTGCACATCCAGGAAGAGACAGAAGCATGCCACTTGGAGGCTCCCCTGACAGGCCCCCTTCTCCACAGTCTGCAATGTGACCAACTGCCCCCAGGACCCACCTGAGTGTGGGCCTGGGCAGGAGCTGACCTACACCCAGGAACAGAGCAGCTGCTGCCCCAACTTCAGCTGCCGTGAGTGGAGTGGGCAGGATGGGGCAAGGCTGCACCCCAACCCCCTCTGGGACCTTGTTGCTTAGGAGAGTGGGCAGGGCAGGGAGGGACCCAGGCACACTCAGCCCTCCTTTTCCTTTCAGGACCTAAGCTGTGCAACTACAATGGCACTGTCTATGGGGTAAGGGCTTGGCTTGGGTACGGTGCTGGCAGGTCTGGGGGGCACGTGGGGTGCCCATCTTCCTCAGTCCCCTGCCTCACCTCCACATTCCTGCCTCGAGGGTACATCTCTGCACCCTGTTCTCAAGAGCACTGGAAGGCTGGCCTCCATACCTGTTCATGCATTTCAGTTTTAGGGACCTTGCAGAAGGCAGTCAAGATGAACTCTGGGGTCCCTGCCCATGGCAGCCCCTGCCCACCAAGTCCTGTGCTCTGCTAGGGACACATTTACATTCCAGTTGAGGAAGAAACAGGTCCTCTGTGTCCCACCTGGCCACAGGGAGGGTCCTGGCCCTGAGTCCCACCCAGGACCCTTGGTGCACCCCCTATCTACTCTAGGTCGGAGCCACCTTTCCAGGGGTCATTCCCTGCCACACATGCATCTGCGTCTCCATGGGAGCCCAGGCCCCAACTGTGCAGTGTAAGGAGGTTGCCTGTACCACCTCCTGTCCCCAGGTGAGCCCGAGACTCGGAGACCCAGCTCCAAATGCCTACCTGGTGACAGCCACCAGGAGGATACTCCAGCTCAGTCTTCACTGGGG